CACTTTAGTTGACGTACAACAACAAAATATATATATATATATATATATATAGATTTTCTAAAATATTTCTCTTTAATTCTACAGAATAATTGCTTAATGTGCATGAGGTGTGTTTTTGCTTTTTTTCAATTAAGGGGAGGTGCTGTAAAATGAATCGTTATATATGTGTAATTGTACACTACTACTATTTTGTACATGCAACTTAGCTAGGTTTATTGAAAATGAAAACAATAATTGAATTAATGTCCAATTTACAGAATAATTGCTTAATGTGCATGAGGTGTGTTTTTGCTTTTTTTCAATTAAGGGGAGGTGCTGTAAAATGAATCGTTATATATGTGTAATTGTACACTACTACTATTTTGTACATGCAACTTAGCTAGGTTTATTGAAAATGAAAACAATAATTGAATTAATGTCCACAAATTTGTGACACAAAAAAAAAACCTGGTATCCCATTTGTAAACTTTGAGATTCAGTTCGTGTTTAAACTCATGATCTCTGGCATGACTTGATATTTTAATGTCTCTTCTACTAGCCAATATCAGTTCCTAACGGAAAACTGCAAAGAAGTGACAATTTTGGTTGGATAACAACAACACAAACACCAGTAAGTATTAGTAATGAATTTTATTAATTCTGTGATGTTTTGTGTTTTAAGCCGGTTTGTCTTATCTTAAAACATGACATCATGTTTGTCAATATTACAGAAATAATTTCAAACATTAGCCAAAAAAAATAAATAAACTTTGCCTTGTAAGATAACTCAATCTCTCACTGAGCAACAGCTCTTTAGTTCTTTATTTCCATGTTAAGCATCAATTTTATTGGTTTTGTTTAAATAATAATTATAACAGAAATAGCATAGAAATGCATTCGGAAATGATTTTCTAAATTTAAAAATCTCAAAAGGTACAGAAATATAGGCATTGCCTGTTTCAAGACGACATAAAACATACAGCCTCTGGAGAAACATTCAGTACTGCCATATAAAGTTTTAAAACTGCAAGATTGTGGGGTCCAGTTAGAATCCAGTGATGAGTGAGAAAGTGCGATCATGTTCAAAGTATGCAGGCTCACTTGAACAGGCTCTTCCCAATGTCCATAGCCTGATCAGCGGCACCTTTTGCTGCAGCGTCTGTAGCAGCTTTGCCGATTGCGCCGCTCAACATATCTCCAACACCTACAGACAGAATGTATTGATCAGAGAGTTTCAAACTGGATGAGTATGATAGTGGAAGAATTAAGTATCTTTCCAAAGTCTCAAAGGAAACTAAAATATTACCTCCACCCTCTTTCTGGCCTTTTGCACCTCCTGCCTTTTTCTTGTCTCCTCCGATCATTCCTCCAACTTTCTCTTTGGCCACCTCAGCTGATGTAACATTCATAAAAGTTAATGATCTTGTCTACATGTTTTAAGTAAAGGAAATTACAAAAATTACTAGCGCTTGCAATTAATTTAATTGGTTACATTTCCAGGTGTTTAATTTTCAAATGCCATACTGTGACCTTCAACAGTGCATCGATGCATTGAGCAAACAAATTGAACTTACCAGCCTGATCGATAATCTTGTCCACCTGCCCATCTGCTGCTCCCTTCATGAAGTTCATGTTTTCGTGTTTGATGTCAGTCAGGAACTGTGTGTGCATCGGAGGTGTGCGTACTTATAGGCTGTGGTGTTTAGCATTTTTACAATCCCCC